GCGGCTTCAGCTGTGGTGTGAGGCGAAGCTTTCCGAACAAGTCGACATCGCACAGGTCTGTGGCATCCTTTGCCAAGCGCATCTCTTGCAGGCGAAGCAGCTGGAGAAGGCGTGTCTCTCTTTCATCAGAGATCATGCAACTCAGGTGCTCACCCTGCCAACCTACGCTGATATGGTGAAGAAGTGGCCCCAGATCGGCCTGAAGGTTAGCCTCTTCTTGGCCGGCAAGTCCGACACAGAGTTATCGGCGGCGATGGCCGGCTTGGACAAGCCACGAGGGCAGGAATCGGAGCAGGAGCAGGCGAACTCCGAAGGATGAATTTGTGCTTGCGGAGTGTACGGTGCCTCACGGCCGGCACGTACCAAGCTAAGCACGGCTTAGACAGAAGTGTACAACTTGGGAGCTATAATTTTGGAGGTTTGAAAGCGGCGAGCCAAAAGCGCTGCAGCTGCGACGAAAGACAAGCACCGAAAACACCCCCCTCCCTGGAGCTACTTCCCGGATTCCGGGATTCCCACCCTAATTGAACGAGTCGATTTGCAGGGATTGTCGCAGCCGCTGCTTTGTCCAGGTGCTTTGCGGCTGCTGTCACGTTGGGAAGAAGCTGAGGCATCGGACTCCGGTGTTTTGTCAGGCCAAAACATAAAAGCGAATGCTGTGGGTTTGGGTGGGACCTGTCACAGTGGGGCAGGCGATGCTTTCTGAAAGGCTTGGGGGGCAGCGTCCTGCGGTTTTGGGCCCGGCTTCAGGTGGTTTTCCGCTGTCGGGCTCGGGGGTCTGACGTCTCAGCTTCAGGAGGAGGGATTCTGAGGTAGTGTGTCGTTGCCCAAAACCACACGGACCGAAACCCGTGATCCGAGACTATCAGCCCGAAAACAGTAGACAATTTGGACTTCAAACATGTTCAGTCGCTAGGTCTAGGTCAAGCTTTACTTTAAATTGACCCAGCACGGTGTTCGTGGTCTATAGCAACGAAGCTTCAGAACTCCCTTGCGTCCGAAAGTGTCCAAAAATCTTGCTTGCGCCAAATTACAGCAGACCTTCTAAGGCCCAGAAGTCGTCGACCCCGCTCCAAACTCCCTAGACCACCCAACCCTGAACCTCACATTGGGTTCTCCTAAAGTCCTAAAGTAGAGTTCTTGTTCAAACAAGCTATATCTAACCAAGGGCATCTTAAAGGGCACCCTAGTTCGAGACAAGCCTGTCATGTCCGGATCCCAAATGCGCTGAGGTTGCATGCTTCATGAAGCCTGCGCTGCAAAACCCGAGTTGCGGAGCATTCTCGTTGTGAGCCTTCAAATTGAAGCTACCGGAATAAGGAAACCATATTCTTTATTACAGATCCCAATTTCGGTAACTTAAACTAAATCCTTTAAACAAGAGCCCAGTTTGGGTTGGAAGGTCGAAGGGCCTAGATCTCAAGGGCAATGGGGCTGGCGAAGGCGAAGCCCCAAGCTCGAGATCGGGGGCTTTTTCCTAAATCCTAGAACGGCTTACGGTTCTGGGTTTTGGGGTTTGGGGTTTAGGGTTTAGGATTTCGGGTTTGCGGNNGCAGGGTTGTAAGAGTCGGCTCCCAGGCTGTCGACCGAGCTCTTTCACAGCCCTCGGCCTTTCCCGCGAGGCCGGGCGGGTCCTCGCACTTTGTGGTGGCTGGGATGGTGATAAGGGTTTATGTAGTGTATGGCACATAGCCCACTGCTCCGGTCTGCATGCTTAGAGGGCCTGAATACAGATCCCGATGTGAAATTCGTTCAGGTGAAAGAGCTGCATAAAATTAGGTTGTGGCACCAGATGGTGGTCTCCGCTAGCAGTAGGGGAACAAGGGGCCAGCCATGATGGGAAGCGTTTGCAGTGCTTATAGGGTTCCGGGATTCTCTGGAGTCTTCCTCCATCAACAAACCAAAGTAGCCCTCAGACAGAAGCAGAAGCTAGGAAAGGGGCCATGTCCTCAGACTCGGGGTCCGCCTGTGATGCTACCAGGGGTCAGAGGGCTATGGATTTTGGGTTCTTCGCAGCAGCCAGTTTCGACTCCAGCTTTGAAGGGCCTCGGAGTGGCCTCGGGGTGGCCGTGACCTGCCATGGATTTTTCGGAGTTTTCGTCGATGTCCGCCGAGGCGCTGCGTGCGGCGATCGAGGACGAACGGCGCAGGGCGGAAGCCGAGGAGGCGAGGCTTCCAGAGCTCGTTGCCGAGACCGAGCAGGCCAAAGAGCAGCAGAGGCTGCGGGAGGAGCTGCGCGCCATGATAGGCAGGCGAGAGGATGCAGAGCAGCGCAATGCCGAGGAAATCGAGTTTCGAGAGGCCATTGCCAGTGACGCTTTGGTCAGACGTGTTTTTCTTCCAAGAAAGCAAGGCGCGAAGCAAGCAAGTGGTGGGGAAAGCACCAATTTTCGCAACAGAGTCTCAACGGTCGAGCATGTGTGGAGAATCGAAGGCTTTTCCTGGGTGCCAGATGCCCTCGAGCAGCACGACTGGCCTTTTGACTTTACGCACTCGAGCTTTGACCTTGGAAACCGGACATTCCAAGTTCGCTACAGCCCATGGGCAGGCTACCTTTGTGATCGACGTAAAGGGTCTCTCGCCTTAGCTCTGCATAGGGATGAGGAATGCATCGCACTTCGGTATCGCATCTATGTCAAGGCCCGGAGCGGTGCATTTGTGCAATGGGGCGAGATGCAGCACGTCATCCACGATGGGCGCAGAGGCAGATGGTCTGCATATGGCCCCGATGTGCATTGGCCAGATGATCCTCCTGCGTCACTGGGTATCTTCGGGCTGAGCCATGAAGAGCTGCTGCAGTCCGAGTGGATACAGGACGACACCCTGACGGTTAAGTTCGAGCTGGAAGTTCGTCCTGACAGATACGCAACACGGCAGGGCTTGAGCCTTGCTGCAGAGATTCCTGAGCCGACCATCATTGAAGACACACGGGCACTCTTGGAGGAGGGCACGTGCAGCGATGTTCGATTCATGGTGCAGGACGAGGTGATCCCAGCGCACTCGCAGGTCCTCTGTGCGCGATCCGAGGTGTTCAGGAAGCAGCTGACTGGGGGCATGCAGGAGAGTGTCTCGAAAGTCATCGTGATCGAGGATTGCGATGTCGCCACCTTCAGGGACTTCTTGCGGTTCCTCTACACGGACCGCTTTCCAGAGGTCAAGGATTTCGGTGCGGCGGCGACCTCAAGCAACGACGAGGCAGAGCACGACAGCCCCAAGGTGTCGCCGGTTCAGTCACTGTTGAGGGTAAGCAACAAGTACCAGGTCACGCGGCTTCAGCTGTGGTGTGAGGCCAAGCTTTCCGAACAGGTCGACACCGCACAGGTCTGTGGCATCCTCTGTCAAGCGCATCTCTTGCAGGCGGAGCAGCTGGAGAAGGCGTGTCTCTCATTTATCAAAGACCACGCAACCCAGGTGCTCACCCTGCCGGCCTACGCTGATATGGTGAAGAAGTGGCCTCAGATCGGCCTAAAGGTTAGCCTCCTCTTGGCCGGCAAGTCCGACACAGAGTTATCGGCGGCGATGGCCGGCTTGGACAAGCCACGAGGGCAGGAATCGGAGCAGGAGCAGACGAACTCCGAAGGATGAATTTGTGCTTGCGGAGCGTACGGCGCCTCACGGCCGGCACGTACCAAGCTAAGCACGGCTTAGACAGCAGTGTACAACTTGGGAGCTATAGTCTTTGAGGTTTGAAAGCGGCGAGCCAAAAGTGCTGCGGCTCCGACGGAAGACAAGCACCGAAAACACCACCCCTTGAGCTACTTCCCGGATTCCGGGCTGCCCACCCTCGTTGAACGAGTCGATTCGTAGGCAGTGTCGCAGCCGCTGCTTCGTCCAGGTGCTTTCCGGTAGCTCGAGACCTGCGACTCGGCTGCTGCCACGTTGGGAAGAAGCTGGTTTGGGGTTCAGGGTTATGGGACGCCGATGTTTTGTAAGGCCGAAGCATATTCAGAAACATATCTGTGGGTTTGAGTGGGACCTGTCACAGTGGGGCAGGCGATGCTGCAGGCGTGCTTTCTGAAAGGCTTGGGGGGCAGGGTTGTGTGGTTTGGGGCCCCGGCTTCATCGTGGTTTCGGGGTCAGGTTCGGGGGTCTGACGTCTGAGCTTCAGGAGGAGGGATTCTGAGGTAGTGTGTCCTTGCCCAAAACCACAAGGACCGAAACCCGTGATCCGAGACTATCAGCCCGAAAACAGTAGACACTTAGACTTCAAATATCTTCACCTCCAACTTCCAATCTAGTTCAGTCGCTAGGTCTAGGTTAAGCTTTACTTTAAATTGACCCGGCAGGGTGTTCGTGGTCTATAGCAGCGAAGCTTCAGAACTCCCAGCACTCCTCTTGCGTCCGAAAGGGTCCGAGAATCTTGAGTGCGCCAAATTACAGTAGATCTTCTCAGGCCCAGAAGTCGTCGACCGCGCTCCAAACTCCCTAGACCACCCAAACTTGAGCCTCACATTGGGATTCTCCAAGAATAGGGTCCTTGTGCAAAAAAGCTATATCTGACAAGGGTCCGGGTTTTGCGGGGTTCAAGGTTGTGCGAGTCGGTTCCCAGGCGCCGACCGAGCTCTTTCACAGCCCTGGGCCCTGGGCCTTTCCCGCCAGGCCGGGCCGGTCCTCGCACTTTCTGGTGGCTGGGGATAGTGAAAGGGTTTAGGGTCCACCGAATAAGCTGCTCCAATCTGCGCGCTTAGAAGGCCTGAGTACAGACACCGATGTGCTGATGTGTATAATTTATACGTTTATAATCTGTCGTCATTACTACTAGTGCCGGGAGTTACCAATGAGGAGTCTGCATTGCTTTGAGGCCGGGCAGTGCTTTCCCCCTTACACCTCTACTAAAGACTCCACTTTGGCAGCTTTTAAGGCAGGTTTAAGAAAGGAACGTGGCTTTTGAGGTCCCAATCAATATCTTTGGAAAGGAGTTTCAGAAATTGGTTTTACCTTGCTCCGACGTTGTACCGGATCTCTGCCGGAAGCCTCCCCTTCTGGCAAGAAAGAGCGCCACAACCTCGAAAACTTCCATAATGCGATGTGGAGGGTTCAGGGTAAATCGGTTTAAGGTTCAGAGGTTTAGGGTTTAGGGGTTGAGTCTTTTAGCCCATCCCGTCTTGCGGCACCCGTCCTAACCTGAAGCCCCCAAACTTCCCTGCATGGGCCAATTCCCACCCCCCACCCCCCCACACCCAGGTTTCACATGGCGCTCTAGGAAACTTTTTATTTTATGGCCTGGGTTCGACAAGGTAGCCACATGTTTGTGAACTCGGAAAGGTATGCCCTCTTTTAGGTCTGACCCAAATCCTGTGAGGCAGACTGGCTTTGAACAGCTTTTTTTCCGGCTTGTACAAAAGTACTTTCGTTGTTTTCGCAGAACAGTTAGCCATCTCGGATTATGAGTTTTTCTTCAGCATTAGCTTGCTTCACAATTTCCTTCTGCAAACCCTGCTTCATGTACTTTTTTTGCCGAGGTTGGGGGCTCTAACTGTCAACTGTTCTTTGCCGGCGGGAATGATGCAGTTGCCCAATTAGTTGTACGTCCTGACCCACACATGCTTGAGCCGTACACCCTAAGCCGTAAACCCCGTGCTGGAACTCCGAGCCCTTCGGACGCAGGACGCTTGAGTCGCAGTCGAGCCTACATGATACTCGGAGGCGCTGTCAGTATTTCCGGGGGTGTAGGGGTTTATTTAAAGCAGGAGTTGTAGGGTTTAAAGAGGGATGAAGGGTTTGAGAGGCTTCTTCTTTACAGAATTGCGGCGTTTCTAGCCTGGAAGGGGCAAAACAGGGTGTCAAGGGTTGACGGTGCGTAGAGGGTTCAGGGTTCAGGGAGATCAGCCTTCCTCGATCGACTCTCCCAGATGCCCTGAGACGGAAGAGAAAGCGCCATGTTTCCAGGCACGGGGTCCTCGTGTGTTGGGGATCAGAGAGGGCTATGGATTTCTGGGTTCGTTCATCCCATCGCTTCGCGGCAGCCAGGTCCGACTCCAGCTTGAAGGGCCCAGGGGCCTCGGGGTGGCCGTGACCTGCCATGGATTTTTCGGAGTTTTCGTCGATGTCCGCCGAGGAGCTGCGTGCGGCGATCGAGGAGGAAAGGCGGTGGGCGGAAGCGGAGGAGGCCAGGCTTCCAGAGCTCCTTGCCAAGACCGAGCAGGCCAAAGAGCGGCAGAGGCTGCGGGAGGAGCTGAAGGACATGATACTAAGGCGAAGGGATGCAGAGGTTCGCAATTCCGAGGAAACCGAGTTTCGAGAGGGCATTGACGATGATGAGATTTGGGCCAACCCACCACTTGCAGATCCAGCCAGAAGGCCATGTGTGATGCAGGCACGTGATAGGGAAACTGTCAATTTTCGCGACAAGATCTGTACAGGCGAGCATCTGTGGAGAATCGAAGGCTTTTCATGGGTGCCATGCACGCTCGAGCAGTGTAGAGCCGCTTATGGCTCTGGTGCTCACTTTGTGCACTCACGCTTTGAACTTGGAAGGCAGACATTCTTATTTTGCTACAGCCCATGGGCAGACATGCTGTGTTATCAGCATCATGGATCTCTGGCCATAGTGCTGCACACTGAGGATTGCATCGCGCTTCGGTATCGCATCTATGTCAAGGCCCAGAGCGGGGAATTTGTGCAATGGGGCCAGACGCGTGATGTTGTCCATGACGGCGAGAGTGGCAGGACCTGTGCTTACGGTCCCGATGTGCATTGGCCAGGTGAACCTCCCACTTCTCTGGGCATCTTCGGGCTGAGCCATGAGGAGCTGCTGCAGTCCGAGTGGGTACAGAACGACACTCTCACGGTGAAGTTCGAGCTGGAAGTCCGGCCTCCGAGCTTTGAAAGAAGGCAGCGCGTGAGCACTTCTGTCGACATTCCTGAGCCGAGCATCCACCAAGATACGCAGGCGCTCTTGGAGGAGGGCACGTGCAGCGACGTAAGGTTCATGGTGCAGGACGAGGTGCTCCGGGCTCACTCGCAGGTTCTCTGTGCGCGGTCCGAGGTGTTCAGGAAGCAGTTGACTGGAGGCATGCAGGAGAGTGTCTCGAACGTGATCAAGATAGAGGATTGTGATGTCGCCACCTTCAAGGCCTTCTTGCAGTTCCTCTACACTGACCGGTTGCCAGATGTCCAGGACTTCATTCCAGCCACAACCTCAAGCAGCAGGCAGACAGAAAGCAGTAGCCCCAAGCTGTCACTGGTTCAGGCGCTCCTGGCCGTAAGTCACAAGTACCAGGTCACACGGCTTCAGCTGTGGTGTGAGGCCAAGCTTTCCGAACAAGTCGACACCGCACAGGTTTGTGACATCCTCTGCCAAGCGCATCTCTTGCAGGCGAAGCAGCTGGAGAAGGCGTGTCTCTCTTTCATCAGAGATCATGCAACTCAGGTGCACACTTTGCCGGCCTACGCTGACATGGTGAAGAAGTGGCCCCAGATTGGCCTGAAGGTCAGCCTCTTCTCGGCGGGCGTGTCCGACACCGAGTTGTCGGCAGCCATGGCCGGCTTGGAAAAGCCACGAGGGCAGGAATTGGAGCAGGAGGAGGCAGGCAGTGGCTCGCTGCCTTGAAACTCCAAGTATGAGCTCAAGGTGCTTTGGGGATGTACGTTGCCTCACAGCCGGCATGTACAACACCAAGCAAAGCCTATACTCTTCTGAAACACTCTGAAACTATAGGATCTGAGAGCGAGCCAAAAGCGCTACGACGACAGACGAGCCGATGGCGGACTAGGTCTGAAGCAGATGTGACAAAACGCGGCGCGCTCGATGTTTTTGGCCTTTGGCACCTCCTTGGCTGGGCCCAGAGGCACCGAGTTGCAGATTTGTGCCCTAAACCCTCAACACTACACCCTAAACCCTAAGCCCTTAACACTAAACCCTAAACCCTCAACCCTAAACCCTAAGCCCTAAACCCTAAACCCTACACCCAATAGCCTTGCATGTTCAGATCCAGGTGCCTCTGGGCAGCTCGAGATCCGTGACTTGGCTGCTTCCATGGAAAGGAAACCCCCCGGGTGCACCAGGCATTGTACAAGTCGTCGAATGGGGACTTCGGGAATTTTTGCCAAGCATGCAGTGCGTCTGAGCATGGCCTCCCAATGGTGGGCGGGGGTCGGAAACCGATGTATTCTGGCTAGTTCTCCAAAGTAGGGTCCCTTTTGAGGTGCCCACTATAGTACGGCACCCTTATAAAAAAGGACCCTAAAAGGAGACCCTAATTTAGACAACCACCCTTCTGCCTGGCGTAAGCCACGGGATCTTCGATAGCTCAGCTTCGGAACTCTTTAGGGTTGAGGGTTTAGGGTTAGTCGTAGTAGCTGCAAGGCATAGGACTTAAGCCCGCAACCCTCGGACTCTAAAGTTCGAAGTACCCTTCAGCTAAGACCCGAACTGACACAGGGGGCCTTCGACTCAGGATGGTACCTCGGGCTCTCTGCTTCCTCACACAAACCTGCCCCCCCCCTCCCCGCGCGATGCAAAAAACGCCTCCAGTGACCGTATGTCATCTGCGCTTTGCGAGCCCTGACTCTTGAGCTAGGCTCTGAACTTAAACATCGCAGCGCCTTGAACTCTTCCAGTTGCAGGTCATGGTCCGACGCTGTAGAGCAGAGCAGACCCCGACACGTCCCCCCGGCTCCAGCTCGAACTCCCTGCACCACCCTAGCCACTGAACCCCGTGCTTTGAACCCTTAAGCCCTACCTGGGCCCTAAAGAACCTACGTTTTTAGGCTTCCTTGTTATGAATTCTTTATATAAGTCCTTAAACAGGTAGGTTATTTGGGGTTAAGCCCTAAACCCTAAACTCCTCTACCCCACACTGGCCTCTGACCCCTACCTAACCCGGGGCGCCTTGTCGACCCAAATTCGCTTGGCGCTCAGGGTTTATGGGTTTCCCCTACACCTTTCCACCCTATAAGGGTCCCTTTGAGGGGCCCCTTTGAGGGTTCCTTTTAAGGTCCCTTTAAGGGTGCCTTTAAGGGTCCCTTTTAAGGTCCCTTTAAGGGTTCCTTTAAGGGTCCCTTTCAGAGTCCCATTAAGGGTTCCTTTAAGGGTGCCTTTAGGGAATCCCCTACCTTTAGGGGTTCCTTGGGTCCCTTAAAGGGTCCCTTTACGGGTTCCTTTAGGGTCTAAGTTTGCAGCCATCGATGCGAGCATCCTCTCAGGGGGCTCTCCCGGGAGTCGATGCGATGCCGGCCTGGCTCTTCTACCGAGGCCGGGGGCTTTGGGTTTAGGGTTTAAGTTCGGGGGTTTAGGCTTTGGGGTTTAAGTTAAGGGTGTAGGGTTCAAGTTTAGGGTTTAGGGTGTTAAGTTTAGGGTTTACGGGCATTCTTGGTGTGGTCGCTGTTGCTTTGGTTGCCCTCGGAAGGCTTGCATACAAGCCCGGATGTGTCAGTCACACGAAAGAACTATGAGCGAATAGTTTCTCACCCTATACCCGTGACCCCAAATCCTCCGGTCTGCCATTGTTACTGGACGCCTCTCAGTCCCGCAACAGGCTCGGCACGAGTACGCAAAGTCGCAACGCACAGTAGCGATTTAGGGTTTAGGATTTAGGATTTAGGGTTTAGGATTTAGGGTTTGGGGTTTAGGGAAAAGGATTGTATCTATAGTTCTGGGGTGGGGCCTTGCTGCAGAACCCATGCAGTTACGGTCGAGGGATTTGATAAGAACTCGGGTTCCTAGAACGAGGGTCTAGATATTTGTTATTCACTTGGGATAAAATAAGAAATCCGCGCTCGGGTCAGACCCTGAAAATATTTACTTAAATTAGGCTCTTTTAGCTTGGAAGCAAAAAAGTTTCCGAAGCAAAGAAGCTTCTACACGGCAACATGTGGGTTTGGACATAGGAAAACGTGCCAATCTCGCCAAGATAGGACGATTTTGGGGTTTGGGCAGGCCTCCAATCGCCTGACTTCGCGGAGATAGGACGATTTTGGGGTTTGGGCATGCCTCCACAGAGGAAAACGTGCCCATCTCGCTAAGATAGGACGATTTTGGGGTTTGGGCAGGCCACCACAGAGTACAATGTGGCTAACATGCCGAGATAGGATGATTGAGAGCATAGAATCCTGCATGAGAGCAATTTTTTCTAACTAAGTTCTTACGCCGGTGTGAGACCCTGGATTTCCAAAATCTGACGAGCTTCGAGACTCTAATTCTTATTAATGAAATTTTCTTATCATACACTGCTCCACTGTATGAGACTTGAAAACACTGAAAACTCGCGTAGGATCATGATGCAGTCGCACTAGCCATTGACATGCAGGTTTGACAATGTTTTGTGCTTGGAGGTTTCAATTCATCGATATTTCAGGGGAGGGTGCTTCCGATACAGTTTTTTTTTGTGTTGGTGCGATCTATGCGTGAGGCTCCAAGGTTTTGTTGGATCTTCCGCGAATCCTCGAGCATGGTTTTAGACATAGACATAGGTATAGATTTAGATATAGATAGAACATGGTATGTGCTTGAATCCCCCTCCAGCTTTCGCCTCGTCGCACTTTGCCATGGCAAACATGTCCGCAATGTCCGCCGAAGAGCTCCGGGCCGAGATCGAGGCCACGCGGCGCAGGGCGGAAGCCGAGGAGGCGAGGCTCCCGGAGCTCCAGGCCGAGACCGAGCGGGCCCGGGAGCGGCTCAGGCTGCGGAACGAGTTGTGGGAGATGCAGGGCAGGCTGTACGCTGCAAAGGATCGCAACAATGTCGAAATGAATTTACGGCAGGATATTGACCATGAAAAGCCGTGGCTTCCGTCACAACAACGTTCCAAAAGGCAACGTGTGCAGGCCAGTGGTGGCGAAAGCATCAAATTCGACCACATGGTGGCTCGGGGCGAGTACATATGGAGAATCGAGGGGTTTTCCTGGGTCCCATGTTCGCTCAAGCAGGACGAGGCCGCTGATCGGGGTCGTCATTGGGTGGAAGCTGACACGGACTTTCACCTTGGCAACGAGACATTCTGTTTTCGCTACAGCTGTGAAAACAAGCCTGGTGGAGGGTATCGAGGGCCTCTCGCCATAGTGCTTTGCAGCGCGGAGCGCATTGCTCTCAGGTATGGTATCTACGTCAGGGCCCGGAATGGGGAGTTCGTGCAATGGAGCCAGACACGCAAAGTCATCCACCACGGCGATGGAGGAAGGATTGCAGCATACGGCCCTGCTGACTCACGGGGCATCTCCGGGTTGAGCCATGAAGAGCTTCTGCAGTCCGAGTGGGTGGAGAACGACACCCTTACGGTGAAGTTCGAGCTCGAAGTTCGGCCTCACGAAGCCGAACAAATTCAGCCCTTGATCCCTGCTGCAGAGGTTCCTGAGCCGACCATCGTGAAGGACACGCAGGCGCTCTTCGAGGAAGGCACGTGCAGCGACGTGGGGTTCATGGTGCAGGGGGAGGAGATTGAGGCGCACTCGCAGATTCTCTGTGCGCGGTCCGAGTTTTTCAAGAAGCAGCTGACAGCAGGAATGCAGGAGCGAGGATTGCGATATCGCCACCTTCAAGGCCTTCTTGCAGTTCCTCTACACTGATCAGTTGCCTGATGCCCTGGAGCTCCTTCAGAAGGGGACCTCACACAACAACGAGACAGAGAGCCGTGGCCGAGAGTTGTCGGGGATTCAGGCGCTTCTGGCAGTAAGTCACAAGTACCAGGTCACGCGGCTTCAGCTGTGGTGTGAGGCGAAGCTTTCCGAACAAGTCGACACCGCACAGGTCTGTGGCATCCTTTGCCAAGCACATATCCTGCAGGCGAAGCAGCTGGAGAAGGCGTGTCTCTCTTTTATCAAAGACCACGCAGGCCAGGTGCTCACTTTGCCGGCCTATGTCGAGTTAGTCAAGAAATGGCCCCAGATCGGGGTGAAGGTCAGCCTCTTCTCGGCCGGCGTGCCGGTCAGAGAGTTGTCGACAACCATGGATGGCGTGGAAAAGCCACAAGGGCAGGAATCGGATCAGGCAGCCGGGTGAAAACACGAGCTCTGACAGCGATTCTCACCCCGAAGCTTCGGCACTTAGAAAGTGACATCCTAAACCCTATACACCCTAGCCTCCTAGCCTGGGCCTAGGTCAAGTCCGCCTCAAAAGCTGTTAGAATGGAGGCGTAGCCAGAAGTGTTACCATGAAGGCTCTAGCCTGGAACCCATCATCTCCCAGCGGCGCGACCCAAGGTTAATTACGGGGTTCGACTTGGGTTTAGGGTTTATAGGGTTTTGAGGGCTTTTAGGGTTTTAGGGCCGAGGGCTTTTAGGGCTTTTAGGGGTTCTGTGGAGTTACGAAGCCACTGCTTTACGCATGACCCGGCTACTCCCATTGGCGGGCAAAAAACGGCAGAGAGCCATCCGAGGGAGGGGCATCCTGGGATTCTGGGATCAGAAAAAACACGTACGCAGGCGCAGACTCGGTTTGGCATCTTGTTTTGAGGGCTCCCTGGTTCTTTAGAGGTCGTTTTTAGATTCACATGCTAAGCCCTAAACCCTCTCCGAAGCCCAAAGAACCCGGAAACTGCGCTGCCGTTTCAAGCTCGGCTCTTCGACGCCCTGCCTCCGTTTCCCAGCTCCCACGAAGAGGCCGATTTAGGGGCT